ACACACACAAACACACACACACACACACACACAGGCCCCGTGCAACAACACAGAGACGCCCGCCTCATTGCCCCTTGTTTTGCACAGGCCACAGTCAGTATGTAGGTCACTGACCTGAAGGTCGCGAAGCTGCAAGATCGCCTGTTGTCTTCCCGCTCTCTCGGTCACCCAGACGCCATCTTGCTTTTCCGTCTCGACAAATTAATTAACTGGCTAATAATAATAATGATAATAGTAGTAGTAATATGATGATAATTGTAGTAATAATAATAATAATAATAATAATCATGATAATTTTTAAAAAATAGGTTGATAGGCTTAAATAAATTACTGCTGGTAGATTCTACTGATTTTTCGCTGTCTCTTTTTTTTCTGTCCGTCAGTCTTGCTGTCTGATTGATTGAATGGGTAGATGTTTTACGGCACTATCGACACAATTTTGGTCATTTAAGCGCCATCAGGTTTCACCGCTACAGTCTTGCTGTCTTTCAAAGCACTAAGTGAACTTCATCGTGTTGGTTTTACCTTTCCTTAGAAATGAATCGAAACATTTTTTTGCATAATAATTAAGTAAAAGTAGGTTTGTTATTTGTTTTCCTTGATGAGATAAAGACAAAGCGTTCTGAGAAAATTACCTTTCCTGCAAAATGAATCAAACATTTTCAGAATAATATTCAAGTAAAAGTAGGTTTGTTGTTTGTTTTCCTTGAGGAGACCGAGACAAAGAAAATTGTCTTTCCTTAAAAATGAATCGAAACATTTTTAGAATAATAATCAAGTAAAAGTAGGTTTGTTGTTTGTTTGTTTTCCTTGAGGAGAAAGATCTAGAGACAAACTTTCTGGGAAAATTTGTTCTTGTCGCATATGGTGACTCAAGAGGGAAAGCGAATCTGCAGGTCGCTCATCTTTCGTGCGTGCGTGTCTTGTGTGGGGGCGGGGGTGTTGTGTGAGTTGCTGTGGCTGAGTACGTGGGCCTTGGCTGCTTCTTCTCCCTGCTGTTTCATGACTGTGGGTGGTTGGCGGGCACTCTGATGTGGTTTGCTCCTTCTTTCCTATCAAACATCTATTGTTTTTAATCTCACCTTCTTTTTTGTGTTTGTTACTGTCTTGTAATACCTCTAATCTTTGGCACTTTTATGACCTTATTGTGTTGCAAGTGCCGTAAAACGCTTACGAAAACTAAACTAAAAAGACAACGATCGCCTCTCTACCCCTTCCGCTCCACTCCAGCTCCGTCATTTGTATCGTAATTATTGTTTTAGGGGTTGTTGGGTGTTTTTCCTACTAGATCTAGTACTAAATGACCGTTGTGATAATGCAAATTTTGCTTCTCTTTACTCAAACGAACTAGCTATTATTGTGAGATTACGAGGTTGTTGGGAGGCTGTATGGTTAACTGCAGAGGGAGAAGTAAATTGGTA